ACAGTCACTGGCAATTCAAACCAACTTTTGGTTTTAACTCAGTTCAATCAGCCTCAGAGACTTTCAGAGTCTTCCAAGCATTTAGAAAAGATAGATAATTTTAATTTGGATAGTTATTTATATTACTTTAATTCTAGGAAAGGCCAAAAGGTACAGTGTTCTAAAGTATAATTTCTAGGCACTGTGCATTTTATTTTCTCTCCCCTGAAATGGTGAATTGTAAAACTGCCATTCTGAAAACATCCTTGAATGTTTCTCAAGCATTTTTTTAAGTGTACAAAATGAAGCACAGTAGATATTTTACAAAGCTGAGGACTTGGCCTCACTGGTTCCACTGCAAAGATAGCCCTGTTGTTCCTAGCATCACTCTCCCCAACGTTTGCCTGTGGTCACCTTGCAATGCACTTTTCTTCTGCTTCAGTGCTGTCACAACACAAGATTAAAATGATTTTTTGAGAAAACAACGTCCACACCTGTTTAAACTTGTCTGTTACAGCAAGAAATATTTTGTTTGCTTTGCCCCTTTTGGTTTCTCCTTGCTCACTGTATGCTTCACATTCTTTCTTCCTCATCAAAACAAAAGGATGCACATCATTTCATTCCTGGTGTCCATTCTAATTTTTAAGGTATTGTGAGTTTTGCATAGACCATTTTGGAAGGCCACACATTCTCCATGCAGTAGAAGTGAAAAGGAGGCCAGTGCCCTTGCCCTCCCCTGGCCGGGCCTTTGTCTTCTCTGCATCACAGAGTGCAGGAATGTGGGTGGGGGACTAGCTGGTCCTGTGATCATCCTCTCTGCAAAAATCCCACCTAGAAATGTGGCTGCCCCATTCAAAAATGAAGGCTGGCCACTGACCCCTGTCCAAACCCGCCTCGCTGGCTCCTTGGGAATGAAATAGGAAGAAGCTGTCTTCAGCTCCTTGGAGGAAAAGGGGCATATTTAAAGGGGACAAGTCACCAGATGCAAAGAAATTGTAACATTTTCAAAGGAAAGGAAATTGGTGCGTAAGCTGCAAAAAAGAAGAAGAAAAGGATGAGCAACCAGCTCCAACTGGCACCATTCCAGTTGCTATTGAATGAGTAAGTGGGTGGGTGCCCTTTTATGGATTTTCTTTTCTGTGTGGGTGCACAGAGCCAATTTCAGGGATGCCAACCTAAAAGCAAATTCTTCAGCCGCAACCAGGGGAACAGAACATGCTAAGAGCTGATGTGGGAGCTATTTCGGGATGCCGGCAAAATAGGCATCTCCTTCAAATGAGTGATTTAACAGCTGCAGCCCACACCAAATGAAGCTATGAAATATATCAGGAGATACAAAAAGACATGGGAGATAATTGTATCGGGTATTGGCATGGAGTGTATCTCAGAGGAGATACGAGGTACAATTATACAGTCCCAGGTAGGGCGTCTGAGTAGATCTAATACTCCCATGTACTCTAATTACTCCAATACTAATACTAATATGGTTAAGCCCTGCTGGACACACAAATAGTAAGGGGCATCACACATGAGAAATGCTTGTACAATCACCCCTGGAGTTCTAAAATACATGGAAATAAGAGATGCAGGGATGTGCTGTGAGGCACACACAGAGGTGCAGGTATGCTTTAGTTTTTAACTTGCACCGTCTTAATCTCAGCTGTACACTGTATATTATATTGCATGTTTATTACATATTGCTGTGGTTCGTGTTTATGTTGTGGCAGATTGTTTCCATTGTCATTGTTTGTTTTGTTTTCACATGTTTTGTAAATTTACCCCGGGGGCCCTCCTGGACTATTGGTTAATGTGGATTATTAATTCAATTATAAATGAATGAAATAAAATAAATACGGGATATGTGGTCTGAGATCTGCAGAGCTGCCTTTGATTATATCTCTCCTACCCTCCTACCCTGTGATGTGCCATGTCAAACAATATACAATTCAAAGCAGTGGCTTTGTTTCCCGGGTCCTCCTCACAGACCTGACTGGCAATGGGAGAACATTTTTCCACTTCTTTATTTGCAATGAGAAACATGGGAGAAATCCACAATGGGTTCAAATCAGTTCGAATTCCCGTGAAACTTTCTGCAGCAGATTCGGGCTTTTTCTAAGTTGCATGGATTCTGCAGACCTATGGGCCACTTCTTCCTAACTCTCTTGCAGGGGAAGGACAATTACCCAAAACAGCACTTACACTCCTGCACATGCACGCATATTTATACTGTTAATTTATATTATTTTAACGAAGTTCATTTATGTCTGTGAGCCGCCCCGAGGCTTCGGCGAATGGGGCGGCATAGAAGTTTACTAAATAAATAAATATGGAACAGAATTTGCAAACCTTCCTAAAATACATTTCGGAATGAGATGTTGATGGAAGGAAGGAAAGATGGCAGACTGTGAAACACAGAGTGGATTTAACATTATAAGCGCTTCAGTATTTGCAGTGAGCTGAAAGGTCTTCCTGGAGCCCATTCCCAGGTGCTGAGAATAAAGGGTAATTCCAGTCAGGACAGGAGGAAAAGAACTGAAGTTGTGCACATGCCACCCCATCTATTTTCTAAAGAGGAAATATGCAAGAGGGGCAAAATACCTAACAATGTAACGGTTCGTTTGGCGTTCAGGTATATAACGGAATTACGTTTCCTGTAAGCAGCTCTGTTGAACAAAATGTTTTGAATGGTCCTGTTTGTGCTTTTGGTCTGTTTTGGTTTCAAACCATCGTTTGAAAAGCAAACTCTCTCTTCATACTGGCTGGCAAATTATCTTTACTTTCTGCATTGCTCCTTCTGAATAAGGAAGGAAGTGCAGGCCCATAATTTAAGAAGCAAAACAGGTGGCAAAATATACTTTTTCAGAGACTAGTTCATATCTGCCTAACTGACACCACTTTGGATTTGACAGTGTCAAATCCACAGAAGAATTTGTAGGCACCCACATACATGCTTCATGAAGCCTGGAGGAAGAATCCAGTGAAATTTCTGCCCATGCAATTCCAAGGTATGTTTCCTATTTTAGTATCTTTTCTAGCATTGCATTTCCTCAGCATCCAAAACGCTATTGCACTATTAGGCAGGGAAATGTGCAGCCTTGGACCCTCAAGCTGTCTTTGCCAATGGGTGCCCTTCCGGAGCAGGAGATTGCAGCTTCCCAACCCTTGGCCAGCACATTTACTGGCTGTGCTGTTTGGGAGTGATCGGAACTGTACCAGCCCAGGAAAGGCTGCCCTGGAGATTGAGAAGGACTCCCCATCGCCTGACCCGATTAGGACAATATCTGTTTTCTGCTAGCGTGACAATGGTGCAGCTTATCCTATTTGACGTGTGTGGTGAGGTTGTTGCTAATTTGCAACTGCGCTGCCCCCTCCCCGCAGGCCCCAAATCTAGTCAAGGTTGTAATCCTCATGCATCTGAAATCTCAGATGATTGGCACTGTTCACGCTACTGGAAACAGAGACTGTGTCACTGATGTTTTATTTTAATTTGAATGCATCTAATGACCATAACACATTTATTCAATATGGTACAACTCATTCATGCCTGATTTATTTCAATGGGTCCATCCCACGCAGGACTAGCGCCCATTCAGCATATTTTTTCTTCACTTTTTCTGATCAAACCCGTGTCATTTCTCAATCAGAGAAGCAAACAAGCCCTTGCCTTTAACTAAGGAAGTATCTTAACTGGGTAGCCCACACGATGAAGACTGCAGCAGAATCTTCTCTTCCCAGCTGCATCTCAAGGTCCCGGCAAGATTGATTGATTGATTCTGTACATGTGTATTTGTATATAAGCAATGTATCTATTTATTACATTTATAAATGCATTAATAAAATTTATAAATCCCTTTTCTTTCAAGGAATTCTAGGCAGCTTACATATTGCTCCTTCTCTACCTGCTCTTATTCTCACAACAACATTTCTTTGTACTTATTTAACATGAAAGCCTTCCTGCCAAGAAGCTCAGCTTTTTCTCTACCTCCAGTTTTATCCTCAGATCAACCCTGTGAGGTAAATTGGGCTGAGAGATCTGGGCAGGGCCCCAGTCCTCGTCTCACACTCTAGGCATTACACTCTCCTATTGGGATGCTATGCTATTAAATGCTCAGAGCACGCGCATGAGAGAGAGACAGAGAGAGACACTCTGAGACAACTTTCCATGTATGCACCTGAAGCCTGCATAACTCTACTCGGAATACGTGTCAAAGGAATTGGCTGGATCAAGCCTCTGTCAAACATGGTGTACACTTACGGAAAACAATACAAGAAGTACATCATGAATTACTTAAGTCCCATTGAAATCAATGGCTCTGCTCCAAGCATAAGTAGATCTGGATTTAACCCAATATGCTTACAGGCACTGTTATGCTGAATCATAAAACGGCCACATCGCAAATAGCTATTCATTTAAAAGTACGTGAGTTTTGACTTCTTCTGCAAGCAGAGATCTGGCAACTTTGCACTGACAAAGGCAAACTGTGCCACACTGATACAGAGAACTCCATCATTCAATAATGTTAACAATATCATTGACCACCTCTCTAAATGCAATCCATGCTTATCCTGATGCTTATTTATTTTATCCTGATGATTTATATATGACCCCTTCTTTTCAACTTAAAATGGAATACAATCGGATACTATTTGCCTCTCCATTTAAGTCCCATTTCCATGTGATCTCTTTTCAACAAGCTGCTTCGCTCCGACAAACTGTTAGATTTAAGTAGAGCTAGTTTCTTTTCTTTTCAACCTGACATCCTGATGGTTGCAAGATCTATTTTGGACATTTGAAAATATAAAACACTGGGAAACACATCCATTCATTCAGCGGCACAAATGCAAGCTCCTGGATGTGGGGGGAATTTTTAATCTATCTGTAGAAACTGACACAGAACATGTGCTTGTAAATCATTAAAAGGCTCACAAAAGCTATATAGAAACTAATCTGGTGCTACATACTTTAGGTACTGCTCAAGTTTTTTCCCCTTAAAAACACCTTCAAAGAAACTGGACCTTACCTTGATGCTGAATAAGTACCAAGCACGTGATAACAAAGACAGCTTTGATCATTCTGGTTAGGTGCTGATCCGGTGAAGGAGCGATCCTTTGATTTCAGGAGCGTAGGGGCTGACCTGTGCTGTCCTTACTTTGAATGTGAGAAGTAAGAAATGAGTCTTTCCGTTTTATTCTTGTTCTTACATGACGAAGTGTTTACCAAAGGTGTTGCACAACTTCCAGGTTGCAACAGTGCCAACCCCAAGCCGACTTAGTGAATGTCACTCCACTGATATATGGACAGCTTCTTTCAGTGTGCGTCCCAAAACAATGACCGACAGGATGAATTTCATTGCTTAGGGGTGCTCTTTTGTTTGGCCTGGATGCTAATAAGTGGGTATCTGTCTTCTTTTCTTCCTTTTTTTCTGCTAGCAGAAGAGAAAGGGAGTCATTCCAACACTATTATATATTTTCTTAAATTAAGCAGTTTTCCATGAAGATGATGGAGGAGGAGGAGGAGGAGGAACTCCACTATAGAAGGCTTTCAACACTGTTAGCATGCACTAGTCTAGTTCTAGTGATTCAGTGGAAGCAAACAATTAAGAAGTTTGTGGCACTTTAAAGACTGGCAGAATCATTGTAGCTTTGGATTAAAGACTGGCTCCGTCTGGCAAGGAAACCTGTGTACTTCCCCTTTACTACTGCCCACTAAAAGAGTCATATGCCACTATGAATACATTAGGGAGCGCAAGACTTTGGGTCTGGCTGCAACAAAAGTTCCCACTGGCAATTCTAATTTGTTCTCCACAGAAGTGAGCTCCAGTTTCAGTTTGAAAGTTTTGACTGAAAAAGAGGTGCTTTTCAGCAACAGACATGACACTTGTCTTACTAGACACTGTTGCATGTTGTTTGTCTCAAGGTGGCACACACCAAAACCCTGGGTAGGCTTAGAATTAAGACAGGTGTGGGGAAATGAACAGCACCCATGTCCTAACAAAGCTGAGGTGAAAAAAGCTACAAAGACTGAAAAGAAAGGAAAAGATGAAGATCTGGTTTTCTACTACTTTGTATTAGGTCTGCCTGCTATTTAAGAGCAGTTTTTTTGTTCTAGGGACTTAATGTCTGGGGAGAGCCAGTGTGGTGTAGTGGTTAAAAGCATGGGACTCGGACTCGGACGACCTGGGTTCTAGTCCCCACTCAGCCATGGAGCCAGCTGGGTGACTGTGGGCCAGTCACAGACTCTCAGCCCAACCTACCTCACAGGGTCGTTGTTGTGGGGATAAGATGGAGGAGGAGATGTAAGCTGCCTTGAGCCCTTTGTAGGAAAAAGGCAGGATATAAATAAATAAATAAACAAACAAACAAATAAATAAATAAATGTAGGCTATATATTATTTTTAATAAAAGAAATCAACAATGGGCTTTTGTTCTTGTGCTAGTGCTTGGCATACTCTTGGAAAAGAAAGCTTTGAATGAGCAGGGTACTTCTGGATGGACAGGCATAGGTCTGCATCTATATCTTTATGGATGGCAATCTCTTTATTGGGATTGAGCGATAACGATCTATGCTGGTGAACAGTGCTTGGAGTTTTAACTTTCTTCTGTCTAAATATGCACAAATATGCAAGGAGTGGTTGCACTGTGGTTTTGCCAGAACCTTTTTTCACTTGAAAATCCACTGAAACCTAGTTGTTGTTGTTAGTTGCGAAGTCATGTTCAACTCATCGTGACCCCATGGACAACATTCCTCCAGGCCTTCCTGTCCTCCACCATCCCCCAGAGTCCACTCAATCTCACGCCGACTGCTTCAGTGACTCCATCAATCCACCTCATTCTCTGCCGTCCCCTTCTTCTTTTGCCCTCAATCGTTCCCAGCATTAGGCTCTTCTCCTTCCTTCTCATTAGGTGGCCAAAACATTTGAGTTTCATCTTCAGGATCTGGCCTGCGAAAGAGCAGTCAGGGCTGATCTCCTCTAGGACTGACCGGTTTGATCGTTTTGCGGTCCAAGGGACTCGCAGGAGTCTCCTCCAGCACCTAGAGTTGTGCATAAATAGCTTTTTCAAAACTCTCCACTGTATAGGTGGGGAGAAATTTTGAATTCCACAGAAAGGACAAATTCTCAAAGGTTTCTTACAGGTAGGCTCAGTGAGGTCTGGGTTCCTTTCTTTCTTTCACAAGGATTTTTATTGGTGGGGGTGGCCAGGGGTTGTGTTACCATCACAAGAAGTGCGCTGCACTGGCAGGCCAGCCTTCATCTTGGCATCTGCCACCAGGCTGGCACAAAGCTCCCAGGAAGCAGTGCATTTAGTGCAACATCTGAACCTGTTCTCCAAATTCCTGGAAGTTGCCGTCCCCCATGAAAGAGACCTCCACTGTTTTGCCTCGTTCACGGGGTTTTTATACTGTGTTTTTGTGATGCTTTTGCTCTTCCCTGTGAGATAACTGAAGGTGCCATGAATGTTGTTTTCCTGTAAGACTTCTCTCCATGGATTCTCATGTGAAAAGAATGAGCAAAGCTCCCAATCTGATCATTTATTGTTTATTTGTTTTATTTCGTGTATATGCCATCCAATTAGCCATAACTTGTCTGGGAGGTTTACATATAATCAAAGAGAGTAAAATTCAACAATACAATAAAAGAATAGTGTCAATAACAAGGAGGAGGAAGAGGAGGAACAAAATAAATAACTAAATGGTAAATTAATAAACTGAGAGGGGATATAAAACAAATATCCAACATAGTTCACAACCAAAATTTAAAAACCATAAAGTTAAGGTTAAAATGGTACCAGCAACTTGTGGAATTGAATCCCACATCTGGGATACAATGCAAGAGGACCCTGTCCTCCTTGCCAGGCTCCCACACTTCGCCTGCGGGGGGAGGGCCTTGGATGCGGTGCACAGAGATCAGGAGGGCAGATATGGGGAAAGGGACTCCCTCGGATCGCCCGGCCCCCGGCCGTTTAGGGCCCTGTGTGTTATTGGAAGCACTTGGCAGCCCGTGTACCCTGTGAAGGACTAGTAGAACGACTCAGCTTTGAACAAGCCCTAGCTTTGCCGAGTTGCATATCCTTTCTAGGAAAACAGCTCCGCCCCTCTTGGTGGGGTGGTACAAGCAGACAATGTTATCCCAGTGTGTGTTCCTTGCTGGCCTTTCTGCCGTGAAAGGAGTTTGAGGTGGGGGCAGCTCCCTCTGCTACAGAACAACCCAGCATCACAAGTCCGGGCCGCTTGTGCATTCTTTTTTTCCCAGTGCTTACATCATGTGCAATCAAGAGATCTTTTAGAACTTCCTTGTTGGGGGATACATGTGACATGCCCATGTTTAGACCGCATGGATCTATCCATGGAGAGCATTTCCCTTTTGCAGTGGTTTTTAAAAGTGGAGCAAGAACTCATCTTTGTCTTCATCCACTGCCACCATTTCCCACTGTAACACGCAAAACTCAGGAATGAAGGACTGCTAATCTAACCATGAGGTTTTGTGCATGCATGTGATGTTTTGAAACTGGCCTTCAGATCTCTGGAACATTCGCACTGCATGAGACTTCCAGCTTTCGAAGTGGCATTCCTTCACTTTCATTTGAAGTTATTTGTGACAGAGAAAAAGTCCCAGGGTCACTACGTGAAGCAATTTTCAGTAATGTTCCAGCCCAGTTCCTGTGTGGAGAAAAAAAGGAGGAGGCCCACAGCCAGAAAAAGCAGGTAACTTTATAGCTCAGACTGATGATGAAAGGCCTGACTCAGACATTTTTAAAGAGCAACAGGTGCATGCTAGTCTAGAAATGCATGGAGCCCTTTCCTTTGCCCAAACCTGAGCGGTGCAGATGTACAGGTTAAGCAGAAATGGGCTACCTGCTATCCCTAAGCTCACTGGTTCAAGATGGACTGCAGGTATATTAAATCTATTTTTGACCACTACTGTACCTGCCTGATATAGCTGCCGAGCTGCGTACATAAACATCTCGCCTATGCCCACCCTATTATAATTTTGAGAGAAAGAGTCCCCTCCAACCTATTAAACAGTTTCTAGCTGGAGTGCCTCCTTCATGGATCACTGCCTTGTCGTGGCGAAGGGGCTTGCTTATCTTAATGAAGATATGAGCTATGCTGTGCAGGGTCACCCAAGACGGACAGGTCACAGCAGAGAGCTCTGACAAAAGGTGATCCACTGGAGAAGGAAAGGGCAACCCACTCCAGTATCTTTGCCATGAAAACCCCATGGACAGTGCCAAAAGGCAAACAGATATGACGCCGGAAGATGAGCCCCTCACGTCGGAAGGTGTCCAATATGCTACTGGGGAAGGGAAGAGGGCTAGTACTAGTAGCGCCAGAAAGAATGAAGCGACTGGGTCAAAGCCGAAGGGACACTCAGTTGCCGATGTATCTGGTGGTGAAAGGAGAGTCCAATGCTGCAAAGATCTGTACTCCACAGGAACCTGGAATGTAAGATCCATGAATCAAGGCAAGCTGGATGTGGTCAAACAAGAGGTGACAAGACTGAACATTGACATCTTAGTAATCAGTGAACTAAAATGGACAGGAATGGGTGAATTTAATTCAGATGACCATCAGGTATACTACTGAGGGCAAGAATCACTCAGAAGAAATGGAGTAGCCTTCATAGTCAATAAAAGAGTAGGAAAAGCAGTACTGGGATACAATCTCCAAAATGACAGAATGATCTCAGTTCGAATCCAAGGCAAACCATTCAACATCACAATAGTCCAAGTCTATGCCTTAACCACTGGTGCTGAAGAGGCTGATGTTGACCAGTTCTATGAAGGCCTACAACACCTTCTAGAATTAACACCAAAAAATGATGTCCTTATCATCCTGGGGGATTGGAATGCTAAAGTAGGAAGCCAAAAGATAACTGGAATAACAGGCAAGTTTGGCCTTGGAGTACAAAATGAAGCAGGGCACAGGCTGGTAGAATTTTGTCAAGAGAATACGATGGTCATAGCAATCACTCTTTTCCAACAACCCAAGAGACAACTCTACACATGGACATCACCAGACAGTCAACACAGAAATCAGATTGACAATGTGCTCTGCAGCCAAAGATGGAGAAGCTCTATACAGTCAGTAAAAAGTAGACCAGGAGCTGATTGTGGCTCAGATCATGAGCTTCTTGTTGCAAAATTTAGGCTT